ACCCAAAAACACGTTTTTTGGAGTCTTTACCCCCACTTTTCTCAAAATCATGACGTGATAGGCACTTTTCGACTTCAGATTCGTGTTCAGCGCACAAAAATACGTCGGAAATCACTCTGATATTAAAAAAAAAATCCGTGCAGACCTGTGTTATTACTCTTAATTTTAAAGGAAACTATGAAAAATATTTCACCATATCAAGAGTCAAAAAATCCTCGCAAAGAGTTGAAAGAATTACTTGAAAGTATTGGATTTATGGTTCACCATTGCAGTCTTCGGAAGGCGAGCTATAGCGGTAAAAAGTCAGAACACTTTGCCAGTAAGTCATTTAAAAATACATAAAAAGTAATTCTTTGTTATAAAATTACTAGTTCCTTAAAAGATCTTTCATATTTTTCATTTATTTATAATTTATAATATCAACTAATTTCTTATTATATACATATGCGTATGAATAGAATCAGACTCCTCAATAATTAACAAATTAAAGTACCAAAAAATCCCGGGAAGTAGGAATCAACGCGGTTGTTACTTGTTAGTGCTCTAGTATAATATTAGACATAAATTTATATTATTTCTTCTTAAATTTATATTTATTCTTCTATAAATTTATATTGTCTCTTCTTTTTTAGACATACATTTTCTTTCATATACATTTCGACTTAATTTAAATCATTCTCAACGAAATACATAAATTAAATACAAAATTGATAATAATAACTCTCGAGAATGTCATAAATAAAAAACAAATAGAGGGCATTAGCTAATGCCTTCTACTTGTTTTTTATTTATGACATCAATTAAAATTAAATTATCCTGACAATCTGTGCAATCTTGGTACCAACCATCCGCCTTACTACGACGTTTTCTTGAATTTTTTCTTGGTTATTCAATCCAATAAAACATAGAAAGCTCCCATGAAACAAGAAAAGCTATAAAGACATTACGAATTATAACAATAGCGATCAATGATAAAATTGTATGTACAAAAACAATCACGGATAGTCACTCACCAAATTGCAAACAGATTATACATAAACATTCAGCAGTCACCAATACGCATTATAAAATTAGCGTCCTTCGTCAAAAATTAAAAATTGTGTCAAATATGTACTTCTACATTTTAAACAAGTGGTTATCACGTTGGTTACTTAGCAAAAATAATGCTACGTGTCGTCACCGATACGTAACAGAGAGCAAAGTCACGTATTTAGTCATAAACAAATTTTAACTAGATGGTTTTTAGTACCGAAGTATAAACATGGTAAAATTGTGTATCCGATTGTAAAATTGTGTATCCGTTTGTAAATTTAAGCTCTTTTTTTGCGTTTTAATGTGTAACATTTCGGAAGTCAATCTTTTATTGAAATTTCTTACCCTGTCCAGTATCCGCACTTGGTCCCATATTCGACATAATTTTTAATTTTTGACAAAGAATGCTAATTTTATAATGTGCGTTGATGATTGCTGAATGTTTATGTAAATGTATAATCTGTTTGCAATTTGATAAGTGACTATCCGTGATTCTGTACATACAATTTTATCATTGATCACTATTGTTAATTCGTAATGTCTTTACAGCTTTTCTTGCGGGAGTTTTCTATGTTTTATTGGATTGAATAACCAAGATAGAACTCAAGGAAACATCGCAGTAAGGCGGATGGCACCAGGCACATATTGTCAGAATAGTTTAATTATAATTTATATATTTCGTTGAGAATGCCTTAAATCAAGTCAAAACGCGTACGAAAAAAAATGTATGTCTAACAGAAGAGACAATATAAATTTATGTCTAACATTATACTAGCGCACTATACTACCGCGTTGACTCTTACTCCCCAGGATTTTTTGGTACTTTAATACATATGCATGTTTTTTAATAGATTCAATATTATCCTTCTTGACATTTCTTGATGACATGCCAAATGACCTGATGAATGACTTCAAGAATGTATTTCGACATGAATATATGAGAAGAACAATTAACTACAAATCAATACATAATGATGAAGAACATACGTTGGATCTACATAAACAATTAATAGTTTATGCACAAAAGATTATATAACAATTGCATAAAGATAAATATATATATATATATATATGATATATATCATCGTAGAAAACATCAAGAGTAGAAGATATAACATTACAGCACTAATATTTATGAACTAACAATTATTTATATATTAATATTGTAACATCAATACTATTAATTAATGGATTCTTTGTAATTCACATCTTATATTGTTGTATTCCATATCCAGATTGATATATGTAGATATATATATGAAATTAAATTTTAAGGAATTAAACCTTTTTAAATAAGAATTACGTAATGTACACGTATAGTCGGAGCGTAAAGCTTTGCATAAAGCTAAAAAATATATAAATCTTATTATATATTATATGGTTGATAAGAAACTGAATTTTATATTCTTTAAAAATTTAACATATACGTATAATTTTATAATAATTAGAAATTAATGCAAATAAAAAAATTATTGTATCACACAAGTTGCAATTGTTCATCATGCAATCATAATATCAGCTTAATCCAAAATTATTCCAATACTACAAAATAATTTTTATAGTTTACAAATGTAGATTTAAAATCTTAATAAAAGAATGTATTTAATTTTATTCGTAAATAGACATAGAAATTCAATCAACACACAATATAAAAACATATTTTGTAAATATTTATTTAATGTAAAAGTATTAAATAAATATTTTTCAAATATTGTATGGTAATTGGAAAGTATTTAACTTAAAACTATAAAATATATACGTATAAAGCACATACTAAAAGCAAATTAAAAACTTAAATAAAGATAGTTTATTATACAAAAATTCAAGCAAATAGATTTTAGTTTTAAGTATTAACCTTGTCTAACGTGATAATTATTGTTGATAATATTGTATTTCTTAGCATACTTTAATAAAGATATTATGGTTAATACTTTATTATGGTTGATCAAGATATGGTTAATAACTTAAAACTAAAATCTATTTGCTTGAATTTTTGTGAAGAGATAAATCTACGACTTGTCGGAAGAATATTTATCAACGAATATGTGCATCTGGCAATTATGTATTTGACGAGAATATATTTTTATTTATAACATTCTGACTGTGTTGTTCTCTGCAACTTCACAATTCTGCGTTGGAAATCTACTTGTTCGAATTCGTATCATGTTATATTGTAATTTTCATTAAATTTGCGAACGCGATTTTTGGTATCAAAAGAACAAAGTTTTAATTTGTTTTATCAGATAAGGAATTTTTTTTATCTATGTGTAACTTTATATTCTAAATGTACTGAAGATGGTCAAATATTGATCGAAACGTTTACTTATTTTATATTAAATACATGTTTTAAGCAAATTACGTCAAGCTTTGTGGCTGTATGCTCTTTATTGTGTATATTTGAAATTAAAAACTTATATTTCGTTTTTTAATTTATTATAAAAAGAATTATTTTATCTGTATATTAAAATATTAATATACTAATATTAATTAATTAAATATTAAAACATTTAAATATTCTAAAAGTATGCTAAGAAATACAGTATATATTAGTATGCATTTCACTTGACATTTGCGTTGCTTATGGAATTATTTTAATTTTGTTGTTTATCAAATATTAAACAAAGAAATTATGCTTGCGACTGTTGTGAACGCCAAGTGCGATGCTAAGTGCGCTCAAAATATAAAAGATAATGAATAAAGGAAGGAGTTAAGTTAAATATTGCGCATGCGTTTAATTTCGATAGGTTGTCTACTCTGGGTAGGTCGTTACCAATCAGCGTTCAGCCGTGTTCAACAGAAGTCAGTGTTTAGTACGTACTTAATTGCTTACTTGTCAAGAGGATTATACTTCTAGATTTAAAAGAATAGTTCTATTTTATCATTAGTGAAGAAAAATCTTATTATTAGTGAAGAAAACTTCCAACAGTTGCAAAGTAAATTTTTTTAAACACAGGTAATGACTGTTTTTAAGTGTATGACTGACTAGTTTCTTGAATACGTATTTATCATACGTTAGACGAATAATATTACAATACAACGAAAGGACAAGGATTTCCAATGAAAGCAACAACGACTTAAATTTAGTTTAAATAGAATAATCTTAACTAAAAAATATGGCCATACAAAAAGATGCACATGAGCTGTAATTTCTCTAATAATTTATAAATAGTGCATTTTTGTAGTAATTCTCAAAGATAATCAATATTTACTATAATTTATACGCATATATTCAAAAAATAATATTGTGAAGAGTAATTTTTTTACTTTTGATTGTCTGCAAATTTTTGTATGTGTCCCCTAAAAGCTGCTAAAGTATCAAATAGATTACAAATAAGTTGCCGTAATCCACGTTATATTCATAATAAAGGTACGTAAATTATGGATAGCATGATTATATAATAATTTGAACTTTCATTTTCATTATTTATTTATAAATACAATGTCCATCTTTCCGTTATAGTTTGGAAAAGATGGCTTGCAACCAAGTAATACACACACATTTTTTCTTAATTCTAAAATTTTTGTTTGATTTCCTTAATTTAAATGAATTAGAACTTTTATATTAATATTACAGTTTTTTTATAATTAAGGTTATAATTTATAATTATAACCAAGTTACACACAAATTTATATACACATTTGTGTATATACGAAATTATGAGTTTTATTTAGCATTTTACAAAACATTACATGCACTTTTAATATAAAATATGTAAGCTAATAGAGAGTCCCGTAATATTATAATAATCTTTTTCCTAAAAGACAAGTAAGATAGTCAGTTCAAATCGTTAAAATATTTTGATAATATTAAGTATCTGTTAGGTATTCTCTTTAATTTCATTATCGGTACTTAAGCTTCAGTAAAGAAACATAACAAACCCACTATTGAAAAGTAACAAAATTAAGTAAAATTAAATTTTTCGTATTTAAAACACCTATGGCCATATTACACCTGAGATTATCCTATAAAAAAACCGTAGTAGCGGTCTACAGCTGTACTTTGTGGCAATTAATTGTCACAAAAATCGTAATCGTTGTACAAAAAATAAGACTTAATAAGACGAAGTAATGTAAAAAAGTTCTAAAAAGAAATGAAACTTTAGTGTTTTTTACACCTTTCATCTCTTTCCAAAAAAAAACCAAGAGACATATATTTCATACAAAAATATGATAATAAAACTAATAATAAAATAATAGCAACAAATAAAAGATATTTTTATATTAATTCAACTGTATACTACATACATCATTACAATATTGCAAACAAAATTAAAAAATTTCTTCTTAAAATTTTTTTAAATTATTTATTTGCTTAATTTATTATTTATTATGTTATTTTTTATATAATAAAAAGATTTATATAGTAGAGAAAAGCCCTTTATTATGAGATAGATGCCTAATATGAGATAGCGGCGTTTCTGCTAAACTAATAAACGCTATCTATTGGTTCCACCATGAATTTATTGCTCTTGGATTGAAAACTATTTAGTAGAAAATTCATTATTAGATCATGCTTGTAGTCATTGTAAAACAAGATTTTAGAATTTGGATGTCTTCAAGTTTCATTGAGATGAGCCTTTAAACTTTGTTTATTATTTAATAAATAAATATTTGGCAATAAATTCTTCATGTAGTGATAATAGAAAAATACGGGATATATTGAATTGTTTAATTATAAAAGTTAGATTTGATGATCGTAAAACCGTAAGACGTGGAAATCGTAATATGAGATACCCAGGGTATTTCTAATATGAAATAATCTATGCTCCTATGCAGGGAATGGAAGTAACTCGTTACTTGTAACGAAGTTACAGTTACAAGTTACTTTTTTGGTAACTTTACTAGTAACTGTTACTTTTTTTCTTTGATAACTGTAATGGTAACGAAGTTATATTTTTTTGGTAACAGAATAATGAATTTTACAGTTACTTTTATCGTTACTTTGGACATGATTGGACACGATACGACACAAACTTTGAAATATATCACTTTCACTGTAAAAAAATTTCGTGAATTTACACATATAATAGATGTAAAATAGATTACATGATTAGTCCTGTAAATACAAAAAATCCTGCAATTTTATAGAAATTATGTAATTTCACAAAAATTTTGTAAATTTGCTTTAATTATGTAAATATCTTATTTTATATTAAAAAATATGTAAATACACAGAGAAAAAGGTTTCTTTGGATTTAGTATTCCTATTTATTTGACTGAAATTTGTTTTATTGAAACAACATATGCTTGTACGAAATATTATTTGTTTGAATAAAAATTTTGTTGTTTCATTTGAGAAATCTCTATTGCTTAACAGAAATAACATTATTATTTGTAGTAATATCTTTCAATTAAATAATATATTATTTGGTTACAATGAATACAAACAATGAAACAAATTGTTTATTTGAAAATGGCAAAATATATATTCATAGAGGTTAGGTTATTCCATGCAAATAATTGCTTTCTTAGAATAGTGATTACATTTTTTGATCGAAAATATGGAAACAATGGCTTATACGTCTAACAACAGAATCAAACGAGTAGTGCTATGTGCTACATTAATTATTTTTGTGTCGTACAGTTGATCACGCGAATACTGAAGATATATATTATCTGTTCAAACAAATAATTTATTTAAGACAGGCCTGTCTAACACTTTGCTCGTGAGTCGAAAACGCTTCCCCCACTCCGTCATCTCAATAGAGCGAGACGGAGCGAAAATAACAAAGGATAGGCGTCAAGACTCCGCCTGAATTCAGGTCTCTCTGTCCGAAATTCATAGAATAAAGATTCATAAAATGTATAGACAGTTATTTAAGCATAAAATCATGCCAGAAAAAATGTTTTATATATAATTATATATAATTATATATAATTATATATA